TGTAGTGGCATATCATATATTGGTTGTTGTCTAACTGTGATTGTAGTGACATGTCATATATTGGTACGTTGTTGTCTAACTGTGATTGTAGTGACATACCATATATTAGTCGTAGTTTAACTGTGATTGTAGTGACATATCATACATTGGTTGTTGTCTAACTGTGATTGTAGTGACATACCATATATTAGCCGTAGTTTAACTGTGATTGTAGTGACATATCAAATATCGATTGTTGTCTAACTGTGATTGTAGTGACATACCATATATTAGTCGTAGTTTAACTGTGATTGTAGTGACATATCATATATTGGTCGTTGTCTAACTGTGATTGTAGTGACATACCATATATTGGTTGTTGTCTGTTATTGTAGTGACATAAAATATATTGGTCGTTGTCTAACTGTGATTGTAGTGACATACCATATATTGGTTATTGTCTAACTGTTATTGTAGTGTCATACCATATATTGGTCGTTGTCTAACTGTGATTGTAGTGACATAAAATATATTGGTTGTTGTCTAACTGTTATTGTAGTGACATACCATATATTGGTCGTTGTCTAACTGTGATTGTAGTGACATACCATATATTTGTTGTTGTCTAACTGTGATTGTAGTGACATATCATATATTGGTTGTTGTCTAACTGTGGTTGTAGTGACATATCATATATTGGTTGTTGTCTAACTGTGATTGTAGTGACATATCATATATTGGTTGTTGTCTAACTGTGGTTGTAGTGACATATCATATATTGGTTGTTGTCTAACTGTGATTGTAGTGACATATCATATATTGTTTGTTGTATAACTGTGATTGTAGTGACATACCATATATAGGTTGTTGTATAACTGTGATTGTAGTGACAAATCTTATATTGGTTGTTTGTCAACCGGCATTTGTAAACAATCCGCGGACTCGTACTCGACGTAATAGCGATACTGTGCTGACAGTGGCATCAACTGATTTTCTTACGATGTTGTTTATTATATTCTCACAATTTCTTTATTGGAGCGGATGGCAGAACCATGGCAGAACCAACTTGTGGGTCAGCAGGCCGATTACTCTCGATATCAGTGTCACCGAAGACTGACCGATGTGACTCGGTTTAGTCACTAATACAATAGAGATTACGCTTTTATCTCCATCACGTGATTGTGAATAATAACGATGCCTTATCTATCATGTAATTAATCTTCGGAATCTTAAAATGTTAATAAAAATACAGATTTCCAAATGTGCAAGTTATGAAGTATAATGAACATATAACTGTACGTATTAACATTATTCAATTTGTTTTGTATTTCGCATATTTCTTTTACTCTATTATCCCAACGTAACATTCTTGCTATTTGATGTGCGCCTCTGTCTTCATTTTGAAAGGGCAGGTAAGTTGTTTCCATTGTCTTGAAATGGTGGTTTCCGATACAACGAATACACACATTGGAATATGCTTCTGTGCAATGCAAACAGATGTGGATACAATTAGTTTACACAATTAATTTAATTGTATGATATCATCAGATGCAGCTTGATTATTAATCACCCACCTCATTTATGTGTTTTTGTGATATTTTTTTAGGAAAACTGTCGGTAGTGATTTCAGATATCCACATTAATATGGAAGTGATTTATTTAGTGCAAGAAAACACTAACAGGAATAATTACCTGTTTATATAAGTCATATACATAGCTTAATAAGCAGCTCTTTTCATTTACTCAAATATTTAGCACATATATTTTTTTAGTTTACTGACATTGATTAATTGTAGATGTTTATATATATATATATATATGTATATAGTACGTTATAGGAATGAATAATATAATATAATATAATACAATTGGGTGAACGCGGTGCTTTTCAGCGCTCTCCGATTTTCTGCCTGTTTTGCGTTTTTGCATTCCTTGTGCGCCCGTGTTTCTACACAGTTGTATATATAGTGTGTCTACCTTTACGCGAGTAATTTATAGTTGTTGTTTTTGTTATTATTGTGGTTTTTGGAGTGTTTTTGCCTTTGCCTTAGCAAGGTGGTCGGCAACCAAGATGGCTGCCGCTCACACAAGGCCACCGTCAACACCAACAGATCACCTCACTAGAAACCATGCGGTACGATGTGAAAACATTGAAGGCATTCCAGTAGAGACTTATGTGGAGTCGGTTGCGGATTTAGTCGGGGCCAGTAATATTGTGGCAGCATCCCGAAAGAACCGGTCAGTTTTTGTGTTTTTAAATAAGGTCACATGGGTCGACATGATTTCTGCCGCTGGCCTTGACATTGAAGACCTCCATGTTTCTGTTGAACCTCTTGTCCGCCCCTCAACTAAAATTGTTCTTTCAAACGTTCCCCCTTTTTTACATGACAATTCTATTACAGACGCATTAGCTAAATACGGGCGTGTAATGAGCGCGGTGCGAGCGATCCCACTCGGGTGCAAACCCGGGTGCAAAAGTCCAGCACTAAAACACGTAAAGTCTTTTCGCCGCCAAGTTTATGTTTATTTAAAAGATCTCAATATTAACGGTTTATTACCTATTACTTTTCAAGGTCAGACATATAATATTTACGTTTCGTCTGACGAACTGACTTGTTTTTCATGTAACATGAAAGGACATACACGTAAAGCTTGCCCAAACTCTAAAACAATCAATATGCAAATGACAAATGATGAAAACAATAGTGTTCAAAATAGTTCTCCAACAGACTCTCAACAGGTGAATGTAGTAACTAATTTTAATTATTCTGACACATTGCACGACAAAGACGATGACATAACTGATATAATTAACACCCAAGCACCAGATACTGAGATAAACAATCATGAGACCGATGGTACAATAGATAACATTGAACTTGAAATTTGTTTCATCAAAAAATATGAGCAAAAAGCGCACGCGTTCTAAATCACCAGTTCATAGAGAAAAACAAAACAATGACCAGTTGAATAACGAAAATAAATGTGAACCAAGTTCTAAAAAGCATAATCATGGAAATGAAATCGAAATTGTTGAACAAAATTGTCCGATTGATGAAGAGAGGGTACGAACCCCTCCTTCCCCTTCCATTGCTTCACCATCGCCTCCCCTACCCCCTCCACCCCACAAACCCTTCCCCAGTTCCATGCCAATCTAACAGTGTGTACTCCAAAGCCACAGTCCGAGCTTACGGAGTCGGTCCCATTTCCATCATCTCCCTCACTTGAGTTCATAGTTGAATCCCCGCGCTATTCGCCGCTACCCGAAATCCCCATTGATTTAAGTGGTTTAACTGATCAATCACAAGACCTTTTCAGCACACCTATGTCACAAAATAAAACCGCTGGTGATATGGAGGAAACTGCCAGCGAATGTAGTGAGAATGAGAGGGGTCTGTCATTTCAGATGTTTCAACATGTACTGTTAACAGCGAATCAACAATATCAAACGCTAATATCAAAACCTTTTTGGTGTCTACACTTCACTCACGTAGATTTATAGACAAGTGTTTTGAATTTTGTCCCAATCTTAAAATATTGGTTCGACATCTGATAAACTACCGCAATACCACGCAGTTGAACACATCTGATAAAGCTCGCATACACTGACTCATTAAAAAAAATTAAACAGCAAATCAAAACGGGTAACTTTATCGCTGATTTTTAATTTCCCTTGTTATGATGGCAAACACAATTACATGCGCAACTTACAGTGTCAATGGTTGCCGGGACGCCCTCAAACGGTACAGTGTTTTCAATTATCTCAAGCGTGACCATCCCTGTAATATTTATATGCTACAAGAAACATACTCTCTTGTCTCCGATGAAAATATTTGGAAACTTGTGTGGCGTGGCCTTGGTATTGTTTCCCATGGCACCGTTAATCGTGCGGGTGTGGCTATTTTGTTTTCTCCAGCAGCAACTGTGAATATTTTATCACAATGTGAAATCATGCCTGGATACGTGTTGCACGCTCATGTTCAAATTAATGAAAATCTTCTTCACATTATTAATGTCTATGCACCTATTAATGGCGCTGAGCGTGTGGAATGCTTCACTAAAATTGAACAAAACATCAGTTCTCTGACCTAGTAATCACGGGAGGCGGTTTTAATTGCACTACTGAACCCGACATTAATCGTAATTGAGGGACTGAACCAGACATGCGCACTGCAAAGCTCCTCAAATCTGTCCTGAATCTTAACAAACTGTTTGATGCATGGTGCCAATACCAAGGGAACACATTAAACTTTACTTAGGGACGTGGTGGTACGCTTGTGCGCCTTGATAGGTTGTATGTCAGCAAAGGTATGCGTGGGAAAATAAAGAATATTGACATAAGGTGCATTAGCTTTGTCTGACCATTCCCTTGTCCACATCAACATCGCCATTGGTGACAGTAAAAACAAAAGTCCAGTGTGGTGTATGAATACAGAAATTCTGCGCGATGAAGTGTATGTGGCTATCTTAACTGATTTTTAAGCGAAGTGGCAAATACTTCGAAACAATTATGTAAATATACAGACTCGGTGGGATATTGGCAAAAATAAAATAAAGTTACTCACACAGCAGTATTGCACACTCAAACAAGATAAATACAAAACCGAAAAACAATCATTGGAAATGGAAATTAAAACCATCGAACGTTGTACTGCACACAGTATTGACTATGCTAACTTAACTAACTCACCCCTGGCTATTGTTGCCATTGACCAGGAAAAGGCATTCACGGATACCTCTTTAATACGCTTCGTGCCTTTGGTTTTGGTGATCGTTTCCTTTCTTACATTCGCCTCATATATACCAATGCCCAGTCCCTGGTCCGCGTTAACTGCGCCCTTACTACACCCATCACAGTGGCCCGTGGCATTAGGCAAGGGTGTTCAATGTCCACTGCCCTCTACGTCATTGCCATTGAACCACTACTTCATAAAATTAGGAATGGTGAAAACATTGAAAGGTTGGTTATACCTCACAGCAAAAACCAACGTTCTAAACTCACCGCTTACGCTGACGACGTGAAATATTTCATAACTCGCAAGCAGGATTTCAACTTACTAAGCCGCTGGTTACATGTCTATGGGCGTGCGTCAAACTCTAAAATCAATCTCCAAAAATCAGAAGGGTTATGGGTAGCTGGCGCAACATCATCTACTCCCCTCTCAATATCAAATGGAACAGCGAGGGGTTGAAACTGTTGGGTGTTTATCTTGGGAATAATCTAACTTATACGAATCAGAACTGGGCTGAACTTGTTGCAAAAGTAAATAATAAGATCAACTTCTGGAATCACTTTGTTCACAGCATGTCTTACAGAGCGCGCGCTCTTATTATTAATAATCTGACTTCATCGCAGTTAATGTATCGCTTTAATAGCCTTGTGTCGCCATCGGACGTAGTTCTGAAGGTACAGAAAATGCTGCTCGACTTCTTTTGGCAAGGGCGACATTGGGTATCTGCCGCAACACTGTACCTCCCCTTGGAAAGAGGTGGACAAAACTTTCCTATATTCAAAGATATCTATATAATAATCATGACCACCCCTGTTTTAAGTTCACAGACTACTTTTTTATGCAAGCGAGTAATATGTCATATGCAAGTCAACTTCTATGCACCACTGTCCAAGCACCTTTACAAAGATTGCCATTATTTTATTGTGAGCTCCTCCATTGTTGGAAATAGATAAAGTGCGTAAGTTCAATGATAATAACGTAACTGATATTCTTAATGAGCCACTGTTTAACAACCCACTTATCATACATTCCATAAGAAATGAGCCTTTTCGCTCAGACATTTTGTTGACGCGGG